GTGTTTGGAGGAGTGTGGGGATTTCCCTAGGAAGGTACTCACCAAAATTAGGGATCTTTTAGATGTTGTATAGTTTCCCACTTTTACTTACCTCCTATCACATACTTTGTTAGCTTTTTTATTGTCTCACCACCATACACGTATGGCTGATGTAAGCATACATTTTTAGAAGGACAAAATGACACCAGGACCCATATTTTTCACTATGAAATTAACTTAAAAACTACCAATAACAGTGGACAACTATTGTTTTAGAATGCTGGTATGTGTTACTGCTAAAAAAGCCTGCAAAAATTAAAATAATATTTAAAGTCAAAATGTAGCACTACCCCCTGCAGGGGCTGCTGATCTGAGTTTTACTTGGTCCATCCCCATATAGTACAGTGGCCAAGCAGCCCCGCCACCCCCCCCACCCCCCCCCCAAGCAACAGTTCATTCACTCTGGCTGCAATAAACTGTCTAGTCTTGTCTTTTGTAATTTATTGCTGATAAAGCAAGTAACAGGAGAGGAGTTAGGGGCATGGGATACTCCAATATATTTAGCACATAACAGTTGGAGGACAGTCTTTCCCCTGTGTCTGAACTCTCCACAGTAGACATGAGGTGGCATTCTGATCAGCTAAAACCTCATGGCTGGGACCATAAGGCAAGTTCTCTTTGATATACAGCATATGAAGACAAGAACCTCGGATTTGGGAGAGGTTCGGTTTGGGGAGGGTGGCGCGGCGTGCCGGGTCTGTATGTGTCGCTCAGTGGGTGTGTGGTTCGGGCAGAGACTGAGGGGGTGGGGGTGGAGGGTTGAGAGGGGTTGGGCTCGTTTCCTCCACCCCCCTCTTAACAATCCCTCCACTGGCTTCCGATTGCGCAACGGATCAAATCAAATCCTAACACTGACGTTACAAAAGCCGTCCACCATACTGCCCCGAACTACATCACTTGACCTAATATCCTAGTACCAAACCGACCAGCACGCACACTTCCGCTCCTCACAAGAACTCCTTCTTCTCTCTAGTTCCTGGTCTCCTCCTCCCATGCCCGCCTCCAGGACTTCTCCAGGGTGTCACCCATCCTCTGGTAAACTCCCTGCCCCCAAACCCATCAGATTATCACCTACTCTCCTCTCCTTTAGGCGCACCCTGAAAACCCATCTCCTTCAGGGAAGCCTACCCCACCCCCTGCTAAACTTGCCGACCTCCTCCACTCTTCCTACCACTCCATCCCCCACACTCATCTCCTCCTGTGACCACCATCCCCTCCCTCCTAGATTGTAAGCTCGAAAGAGCAGGGCCCTCAATCCCTCATGTTTTGCATTGTATTGGTATTGTTCTGCCACATGTTATGTTCCCCCTTTGTAATGTACAGCGCTGAGTGAACTATTGGTGCTTATAAATACTGTATTAGTTAATAATCTTCTCATAAGCACTTGTTTGAGAAATTTGGACAGTCTAAGACAGGGGTGTCAAACTGGCGGCCCTCCTGCTGCTGTAAAACTACAAGTCCCATCATGCCTCTGCTCTTGGGAGTCATGCTTGTAACTGTCAATCTTGCAATGCCTCATGGGACTGTGTAGTTTGGCAACAGCTGGAGGACCGCCAGTTTGACACCCGTGGTCTAAGGCCTCACAGCTGAAGACTATGAGGCCAGTCTCTTTAACAGGCAATCTTCTCTTTAGTAATTGTGGAAAACTGAACATTCTAAGTCCTCACAGCTGAAGACCATAGGGCAAATTTTAGAGTAGTCTAAAGCCTCACAGCTGCAGACCATGAGGCCATTCCCTTTGACAAGCAATCTTGTTTTGGAGATAATGATGAGAATTCCAACATTTTACTGTTGTCACCAGAATAGGAGGTGAGGGTAAATCTTCAATGTTGTGTCTTCAAAAAAAAATCTCCCATAACGAGACACAATCAGCAAAAAAATACACTTGTGGTGTTTCATGAAATAAAATCCAGATTTATAAGCAATAAAGTCTTTCGCACAATATAGAAGAGACATAAACCACAGTCATATATAGCGTTTACTCAGCACTCCCAAACTGTAAGCCAGTGTCCATTGTCAACATAGAAATAGATATCCAGGAGAGTGATGATGGGTGTACAGATCCAAGGAACTCCCCCGCAGCTCCTGGAAGGGAACTGGGAAGGATCCACCCCATGTATATATGAAAAAGAACACGTAGGGCACTGGGTTAGTAGGATCAATGAATCAACACTTTTTTTTAAACAAAGCACACTTACAGTTTTAAAAGCTAAAATCCAGCTAAATGGCAGCCAGGAGGGTAAAAACAATTGACATCCTATCCAGGGCAACACATGGATGCCCAGAAAACCACCAGAAGTGAAAGGACCAAGATGGGTGGGCCTGTTTCAGGGGCACCTTCCCTTTGTCAATCTTGACATTCCATGGCTCTGCTTGCAGCCACACACGCTGTCCCTCCTTTCTCTTCTGGTGGTCTTTTGGGGCTTCCACATGCTGTTTGCACAGGATGTTGATGTGTTTTCCCCTCCTGGCTGCTGTTAATACTTGGATTTTCACTTTTTAAGTGTGCTTTATTAAAGAAAGTGTTGCCTCTTTTATCCTACTAACCCCAGCACAATGTCTTTGTGTTCCTTTTTATAAAGGCTTTCAGAAGAAGACAATTTCATGAAAAAAAAAACCAAAAATGTGTATTTTGCTGTGGTTCTGCCAGATATACCAGCTTGTGTGGAGCCTGAGCTGCTGGTAGATGCTATGGAATATGAAGGCTGCAGTGAACATATGGAGTGGGTCAGATCTCAGCATGTACATGAATACATAGTCTTGTCTTCTTGTGCCTTTTGTGAGGTTTTACATTCATGCCGTATGTTTATGCTTGAGAAAATGCAGATAGCATGTGCTTGTGAGCATATTAACAGCTGTAGCTGTGGCACACCAAAGGCAAATCACAATAACCCCCGGTTTAGATATATGCAAATTGGATGCATTTTGAACCACATCCAATTCTCATGACATGTGAACCAGTAGCTTTTTCTATTGAGCCAGTTCACATATGTCCGAGTCGGCCGATGTGTGATTTTTCAGCCAGGTTCAGGTTGTGATTTCCAATGTCATACACTTTAACAATTTGCACCTGAATTGCACCTGAACCGCTGACCAAAGTCACACTGACCGAACGGGGCTTGAAATTGAGCCGCAAACCAGCCCTGCACATATGTGAACCCAGGCTGAGTTTTTGGAACACCTCATTACTCTCAGCTGTACACAAGACCTCAGCAATAGAGGGGTACATCATTTCATCTGGTGGCTTCCAGTGCCCACAGTAACGATTGGACAATATTACAATTTACACAGTTATGGTTTTTCATTGACTTAAAGTGACACTAAACTCTGGTTTACAAAACTTATATTCAAGTAAAACTGTATTGTCACTTGCCCTCAGCCTCTTCCAAATTCCTTTTTTTCTTTTGCTGCTGTGGTCTGACTTACTGTTAGAAGGTGGCTACATTTATTCTCCTTGGTCACACTATATTAACCACTTCATATCCGGGACACTTTTACCCCTTCCTGTCCAGACCAAGTTTCAGCTTTCAGTGCTCTCAACACTTTGAATGACAATTGCGCAGTCAGGCAACACTATACCCATATGAATCTTTTAGCATTTTTTTGGGACAGATAAAACTTTATTTTGGTGGTATTTATTCACCACTGCGATTTTTTTTTTTTTTTTTTTTTTTTTTTTTTTTTTTTTTTTTTTAATTTTTTTTACTATATAAATGAAAAAGTCCCAAAAAATGTAAAAAAAGTGTTTTTCTTATAAAATTTTGCCAATAAATAATCAATTCTTCATAAATCTTGGCCAAAAATGTATTCAGTTATCTTTTTAGTAAAAAAAAAAAAAACCCAAATTAGTTTTTATAACCAAAAATTATAATTTTTCAAAACTTTTTTTTTTTCATTTTTTTTTATACATTTTTATTTTATTTTTTATATTATTATTATTTTTTTTTGTTTAACATACTGTCACCCTAGCAGTACAGTATCACCATAGTGACACTGTACTACTTGTGGGGGTTGATGAAGATTTTTTTTTTTTACACTGATTGCTTTTACCCATAAAGGCTGTAAAAGCAATCATTTCTCCTTCTTTCTAGCTGCATTCTTGCAGCCATTGAGAAATACTGTGTGAGCTGTGATTGGTCACAGCTTGTCACATGGTACAAGGCTGTTGTGAATAGCCTTGTACCATGTGATCTCTGTGATCATTCACACGCAGTAAGCAATGATGTCAGAAGTGACATCTTGCTTACACCTATTCATGTGATCACTGATTGGCCAATCATGTGATCACATAATCGGGACCTCACACAGAGGTCCCTACAGTGATCAGTGTTCCGCTGTGTCCCCGGACACAGCAGGCACCGGATAACTGTGCCGCATTGCTCCCAGGGAACGCGCGAAATCCAAAATGGCGGGCGCCGTTTATGAACGGCAACCCTCCCCTGCACTGCCCACTGTCCGGCCATTTATAATACAGCGGCCGAATGGTAAGTGGTTAAGGAATGTAACCACCCTTTCTTGCTCACTCCTGCTATGGACTAGGGACTATGGGATTTGTATTTTGCATAGAGCAGTGCACATAATACCACAGTGAACATGCACTGCTCATTCCAAACAGAAATAAAAGGGAAAAGAAAAGGTTTGGGAGCTCACAGATGTTACAAAGAGGCAGAAAAAAGCAATATGAAACAATTTCATAAAAAATAGATTACAGAATCATTAAGTAGTGGGTGTGTATGTTTTTTTTTTGAGAATAATAATATTTTTTAGTGTCCCTTTAAAAATATTGGATTTGTCAAAATAGTGCAGTAACGTTTTCTAGTTTTCACTGTGCAGACGTTTATTTATTATAAAATGTTCAGTACACTATAATTCTTTGTGATCTGATTATTCATAGTGGATTTCATGGATCTAGAGTTGTTCTTTACTATTTCAGTTACAAGAAAGGTGGCGTGGCATCTGGTATGAAACATGTGGATACTAACACATATGATGTGAAGAGGCTGCTTCATGTTAAGGGCAAACGGAATGTCACAGCTACCGAGGTAATACTCAGCGCCTACAGATAACTACGGCAATCCATCATCTGCTCCTTTTGACTTTGTAACATGAATTTTTTGCACATACACTCACTGAACTTTAATAGGTACACCTTTTCAATTGCTTGGTAACACAAATTGCTAATCAGCCAATCACATGGCAGCATTTAGGCATCTAGACATGGTGAAGACGACATGTTGAAGTTCAAACTGAGCATCAGAATGGGGAAGAAAGGGGATTTAAGTGACTTTGACTGTGGTGTGGCTTTTGTTGCAAGACGGGCTGGTCTGAGCACTTCAAAAACTGCAAACTGCTGATCTACTGGGATTTCCATGCACAACCATCTCTAGATTTTACAGAGAATGGTCAGAAAAAGAGAAAATATCCAGTAAGTGGCAGTTTTGTGGATGAAAAATGCCTTGTGGATGTCAGAGCTTAGAGGAGAATGGGCAGACTGGTTCAAGATGATAGAAAGGCAACAGTAACTCATGTCAATATGGAACAAAATCTCTGAGAAATGTTTCCAAACACCTTGTTGAATCTATGCCACAAAGAATTAAGGCAGTTCTGAAGGCAAAAGGGGGTCCAACCCGGTACTAGCAAGGTGTACCTAATAAAGTGGACGGTGAGTGTATGTGCATTAAAATAGTAGAAACTGGACATAGAGCCTGGAATTCATAAAGAGTATCGTGGACATTGTTCTGAAATGTTTCTCGTGCTAGTGCGACAAATGTCAGATTCATGTACAAATGTCAGATTCATGTACATGTACACATTAAGATGTATATGAATCTATCATAGAGCTGATAGAACTGCTGCGAACATATCACCTGCGAAGTGCCAAAGTTTTACAGACAGAGAAACTACTGTACTTAGAACTTAGGAGTGATTTGGGAGAGTAATGGGAAATCAAAGGTCAGTTTTAACTCAAAGTGGACCTTCACTCTAAATTTGGTCTTTTTTTCTCTGCAACCCTTACCACTTCACAGGCTTAAAAAACTATTTTTTTTCCTTCCCCGGCCCGGCCTTTCACCGCTATCCCCACCTAGGTGATAACGATGTGTCCCTGCTCCCATAGCCTCCTGAAATCTCCTGTCCTATATCCCAGGAAGCTGCAGGAGCAAAGATACAGAACGGCTGTAGGGTGGAGCTGCATGTGGCAATGGGGACCGGCTGTTTTGAACCCAGAAGAGACAGTTGGGCTCCCAATGGCAAAATAAGATGGCAGCACAGGATCCAGCATGTGGTAGAGGTACAGTAGATTGCAGCAAGACAATGCTGGATTCACTGGGCAGTGAATCGAAGATAATACTGTGATGTTTTACATATTTGAAATATGACTGCAAGAGCCATCAGTAACCAAAATGTTGCTGTAATAGGCCTTTTCCCCATATAACATGCATAGTATGGTAGTCAATTTTCCATATATCATACATAGTATGTGTGGTCATGACTATTATGCCATCTGTCCAAGGGGACAATTTACATTTGTGTAGCGTGTTAATGTCGCTGCGGGTGGTAATCACATACAAGAAATCCTACAGCCTGGTTGCTGTAGATCAACTTCATGGATCAACTTCAGCAGAAACATTCTGCCATAGACTGATCGAATCTCAGACGGTTCCTGCTGAACTGGCCGAGATTTGGTCTATCTATTTTAAAAAAGGTGTTGTATTTTGCTGAAATTTAATGTATGCGAAGACAATTAGCAGCATACACGGAATTAATTTGATAGTGTTTTAGATGGGAATATATAATTTATGTATTCCTCAGGTTTTTTTAACTGTATGAGATTCTATATTATTACAGGTGGAAACTGAGCTGGAACAGTTTTAATATTGGTGATGTGTTTTTGCTGGATCTGGGGGAGAGTGCTCGTTCCAGTGGAATGGACCTGACAGTAATAAGGCAGAGAGAATGAAGGTAACTGCTGCTTCCAGAAGCATTGGGGTTGATTTACTAAAAACTAGAGAATGCTAAATCTGGTGCAGCTGTGCATGGTAACCAATCAACTTCTAGGTTTTTCTTTGTCAACGCTTAATTGGTTAAGCAGAAGTTAGAAGCTGATTGGTTACCATGCTCAGTGGCACCAGATTGTTCACTCTCCAGTTTTGGTAAATCAACCCAATTGTCTTTTACAACCCATTTTTAAAACAAAAGTTCAGTAAGTCAGCATGGTCAGTCTTGTTTTTTTTTTTTTGTTTTGTTTTTTTCTTGCTAGGGTATGCTGTTGGCTAAGGACATACGTGATCGAGAAAGAGGAGGCCGAATGGAAATCGGGGTGATTGAAGGAGATAATGAGCAAACATCATCTGAGTTACTGAAACTTCTATACAACACACTTGGAGAGAGGACCCAGACTATTGGACCAGGGACTGCTGATGAAATTGCAGATCAGACACAGAAAGCTAACATCATGCTATACCAGTAAGTAGTGAGAATTGTGCGTCTGATCTATAGTGTTAGTGTAGTGTTTAGGCTACTTTCACACTGATCCACCACAAAAACACAGCAAAAACGCATAGGCGTTTTTACAGAGTTTTTAATGCGCTTTTGCCATGCTTTCTGGGCGTTTTTTAACCCACTTCCCATCCGGCGATTGTATGTAAACGGCTGGGACCGTGGCAGTGCAGGGTCGGGTGGCTGCTTAATAAATGGCCTCCCCGCCCCCTGGTAGCGCGCGGGACCGCGATCCGATCCCGGTGCCCACTGTGTCCTCCGGACACAGTGGAACACCGATCGTCGGACAGGACCTCTGTGCGAGTATCACCAAAATAAAGCTTTATCTGTCTCAAAAAAAATGCTAAAAAATTCATATGGGTTACAGTGTTGCATGACCGCGCAATTGTCATTCAAGTGTGATAGCACTGAAACCTGGACACGAAGGGGGTAAAAGTGTCTGGACTGGAAGTGGTTAAAGGACACGAAACTTAAAAACTGCTCCAAAAAACACTTCTCAGGGATTTTTTTTAACTCTCCCCAAACATGCCCCAAAGATGCTGCAAGCAGGAGTTTTCACACAGCACCACAAGCGTAACGGTCTCGGTGTGAAAATATACATAGATATACATTCACATACATAAGGGAAGCAGTTTTCTTGAGCTTTTCAAGCGCTTTTTTTTTTTAATGCAAACTAAACACGCTTGAAAAACTTCCTCAGTGTGAAGTAGCCTTATGTGTTCCTAGTTTAAATGCTAGCAAAGTATATAGCTGTATTTTAGTGCAACAATTTATATATACTAACAAACAAACAAAAGTTTTCCCAGCACATTTACCAGTAGCGTGCACAAACCAAAAAACCAAAATGGCACTGTCTAAACTATTTACTTTAAAAACTTTAAAAACAGAAGGTTTTATTTGCACACATTTGCTAATATATGTGGAAGCCACACTTACCTTGTCAAGGCCTCTCTATAAAGTGCGGTCCTAATTCATATATGAGAGTCTCCATATTGCAGTATACAGCATATAACAAAAAATTAAAGGGCAGGTGTGCCCAGAGGTAGCCCATTTCTTATTAAGGGCCAGTTTCACACTACATGCATTTCAGTTGCTTTTTTTCTGCATCTAAAATGCAGAGAAAGTAGGTTCTATGGTTGTCAATAGAGATGAGCGATATCGAACCAGGCGAACCGGAATTCGAGTCGAATTTCAGGAAATATTCGATTCGCGGCGAAACCGAAATTTTGCCTACTTTGGGTGTGCGCGAATCGAACATTTCCCGATCAGCCGGCAAAAGTGTCCCTGCAGTGAGCTCCGCTATTTCTGACAGTTCTCTGACAGAAGGAACACATGTTTAGCGGTTGAAACATTGTATCTATTAGTTCTACTATTTAGGATACAGATGTTTCAACCACTGTTACATGTGAAGAAGCTGTGAGAGAACTGTCAGAAATAGAGGAACTCTGCACATACACTTTTGCACGGCTTGGAATTATTCTTCTTTTCATCCTACTTCTTCTTCTTCTTCTTCTTCATCCTCATCCTCATCCTCTTCTTCTGAGGATGAGGATGAAGAAGAAGAAGAAGCAGAAGTAGGATGAAAAATAAGACTAATTCCAAGCCGGCAAAAAGTGTATGTGCAGAGTTCCTCTATTCTTCTTTATCCTCATCCTCAGAAGAAGAAGAAGAATGAGGAAGAAGAAGAAGAAGAAGAAGAAGAAGAAGAAGAAGTAGGATGAAAATAAGAATAATTGCAAGCCGGCAAAAAGTGTATGTGCAGAGTTCCTCTATTCTGCAGATACACTTAGAGGAGGAGCTCTGCACATACACTTTTTGCCGGCTTGGAATTAATAGTGTATCTGCAGAAATAGAGGAACTCTGCACATACACTTTTTGCCGGAAACCGCTGTATGGAGGGAATGTCCCAGAACTGTCAGAAATAGTCTATTTCTGACAGTTCTGGGACATTTCACTCCATACAGCTGTTTCAACCGCTGTATGGAGGGAATGTCATAGAACTGTCAGAAATAGACTATTAATGACAGTTCTGGGACTGTCCTTCCATACAGCGGTTGAAACATTGTATCTATTTGTTTCCATAAATGGATCCATTTATGGAAACAAATAGATACAATGTTTCAACCGCTGTCTATGGAAGGACAGTCCCAGAACTGTCATTAATAGTCTATTTCTGACAGTTCTATGACATTCCCTCCATACAGCGGTTGAAACAGCTGTATGGAGTGAATGTCCCAGAACTGTCAGAAATAGACTATTTCTGACAGTTCTGGGACTGTCCTTCCATACAGCGGTTGAAAATTGTATCTTTTTTTTTCCATAAATGACATTCTGCAAATACACTTAGAGGAGCGCTGCAGATACACTCTTTTGCCGGCTTGGAATTAATCTTATTTTCATCCTACTTCTTCTTCTTCATCCTCATCCTCATAAGAAGAAAAAGAAGAAGTAGGATGAAAATAAGAATAATTCCAAGCCGGCAAAAAAGTGTATCTGCAGCGCTCCTCTAAGTGTATCTGCAGAATGTCATTTATGGAAAAAAATAGATCCATCAATGTTTCAACCGCTGTATGGAGTGAATGTCCCAGAACTGTCAGAAATAGTCTATTTCTGACAGTTCTGGGACATTCACTCCATACAGCTGTTTCAAACCGCTGTATGGAGGGAATGTCATGGAACTGTCAGAAACAGAAATAGACAGAAACTGTCACAGAACTGTCCTTCTTTCATCCTTCTCCTTCTTCTCATCCTTCTTCTCATCCTTCTTCTCATCCTTCTTCTCATCCTTTCTTCTTCTCATCCTTCTCCTTCTTCTTCTCATCCTTCTCCTTCGCCTTCTTCTCATCCTTCTCCTTCTCCTTCTTCTCATCCTTCTCCTTCTTCTCATCCTTCTCCTTCTTCTCATCCTTCTCCTTCTCCTTCTTCTCATCCTTCTCCTTCTCCTTCTTCTCATCCTTCTCCTTCTCCTTCTTCTCATCCTTCTCCTTCTCCTTCTTTCTCAATCCTTCTCCTTTCTCCCTTCTTCTCATCCTTCTCCTTCTTCTCATCCTTCTCCTTCTTCTCATCCTTCTCCTTCTCCTTCTTCTCATCCTTCTCCTTCTCCTTCTTCTCATCCTTCTCCTTCTCCTTCTTCTCATCCTTCTCCTTCTCCATCTTCTCATCCTTCTCCTTCTCCTTCTTCTCATCCTTCTCCTTCTCCTTTCTTCTCATCCTTCTCCTTCTCCATCTTCTCATCCTTCTCCTTCTCCTCATCCTTCTCCTTCTTCTCATCCTCTCTCCTTCTCCTTCTCCTTCTTCTCATCCTTCTCCTTCTCCTTCTTCTCATCCTTCTCCTTCTCCTTCTTCTCATCCATCTCCTTCATCCTTCTCCTTCTCCTTCTTCTCATCCTTCTCCTTCTCCTTCTTCTCATCCTCTCCTTCTCCTTCTTCTCATCCTTCTCCTTTCTCCTTCTCTTTCCTCATCTCCAGGGCATTTAAATTAAAGGTACAGTGTTCTGCACTAATTTAAAGGCTCTCTGAAGCCTAGAAACCCTTTTTATAAGTCATCTTTCGTAGCGAAGAAATTCGCATCGAATCGAATTTCACACTGGAATTCGCCGAATCAGCCGAATCGAATTTTTGAGAAATTCGCTCGATCTCATCTCTAGTTGTCAATGTCATAGTTCATATCAGTGCTTGCAGTTCCAGTTGCGTTCAGGATGCAGAAAAAAAAAGTAGAACAGGCTGCATTATTGCTGCACAAACTGTAACTGGAACTAAAAAGCATCAAAAACGCACCAGACGCACTGGAATGCACAAAAACGCACTGGAGTGCACATGTCCCTTTTTAAAATTGAAGAAAAATAGAGGGGAAAAAATGAACTGATGAACGCATCAAAAACACATTGTGTCAAAACACATTAAAAACCACACTGGAATGCGTCAAAAAACGTGCATGCAGAAACACAGCCGGAATGCATTTCTATCTAGTGTGAACCGGCCCTAGAAGTACGGGGGCACATTAAAAGTCCAGCAAGAGCACAATGACAGCTAATAATTGTATTATAATTTGCATATTATGGAAATGGTGTACTTTGAAGCCTGTGAACAAATGGGCAGTACAGCATATCATGTTAGTAGCCCTGAACATGTCCAAATGATATCATGTTATTAAAAAAACAATACCAAAGAGCCATTTATCATGATACTGCCAGCCAGCCAGATCCTTTCGCTTCTCCTGGGCTTCACATGGGCTCTCATGCGGAGTCCAGTAGTGAAGGTCTTGGCAAGGACAGTATGCCTATAGGCCTTTAGGTCAGCTTCCGTATCTGTAATATACTATTAAAAAGGTTGGGAGAACCACAGTCGGGCTCAGGGTAGATTTCTGCTGCTGTTCCCAATTTTGAGATATGGATTGCGTGCACGCCGGAAATAATTACATGGACAACTGTCCAGTACAACCCACTTTCATCATCTCATCTC